GAAATAAGGAGTGCTAAAGAGAGGCAACAGAGGGAGAATTTTTTAATTGTTATTATCCATCATGTCATTACCAAACGAATTTACAGGATTCTCTTCATTCAATGTTGTCCAATAATACATTAATAATTAATCAGTGGGAATGTATCTGCAGTGCTCTAAAAATATAATTAAGGTAAGGTCAGAGAGAAAGTTAGTATCTTGTGTTAAGCTCTGTCATGCTATTGGGAAGCAAAAAACAGCTAAACTTGCATGCACATAAGTCTTTTTTCACATTGCAAAATCTGTCCGTTTAATCAGTTAGTGTAATAAAGATAAAATGTTTCTAACTACAGACTCAGACCTCTGAGTAAGGAAGATAAGCAAAAGTGACTGAAATGCCGTACCTACGTAGTATCACTGAGAAAAAAACACTATCAGACGGTATCTAATTACCTCATTCTACCTATAAATTCTTTAAAAATTAATAATTATGTATCTTTATTACTCACCATGAATAGTTAATGAACAATAGGTCATATATTAAGCTATAACATTTGCTAGTCTTTAGTAACTTAAAACATGAAGAGGTATAATCAGGTGCAAGATTCTCTCCTTTTAATAACAATTTTAAATCTTTAAATTCTTCCTTGACTGGAATTTAGTTACTTAACTTTTGTATATTTAGAATTCAATTCTATTTACTACGTTCAGAAATTAGCTGAAACTCAGAAAACAGCAATCTTATTAAACTACTGGTGCTATATAAGTAGTGAGAACAATCAATTTTTTAAAAGAATCAGCATCTTATACTTCTGCAAGCATGTTCAAGGGTCAGAAGGGCAGTTACTGTGTGTCAGAAAAGGAAAACAACATTCTAAAAACTCATTAGATCAAGATATAAATCAGATCAACTTAATTAAAAAACCCAGTCCTAATCAAATGCATTTGTATCATTCCCCCTGGTTTTGTTCTTTCAGGAAGTTAAACTATTAGTTAAGCTGGCAGAGCAATAAGATTTTGTGCTGACAGCTTTGTGTCAATGCTGCCCCATGTGCAGACCAGTTAAGGGTTTTTCAAAGGCAGCAACACTTTCTTTGATGTTCATGTGCCCTTTCATACAAGCCGCAGTGTCAACACTCGGCTATGATAGATTGTGAGGTTGGCTAAGTGAGAAGAAACTGCTTTGCTGCCATGTGTTGTACATATGGTATCATCAGACTTCTTGTGACAACGACCTTTTCTGTTGCTGTCAGATATCACTGGTTTTTTTCTTCTCTGTTACTTTTTTAAAAAAAGACTTAGTTTGGTATAACTGCCTTCCATTCTTACTGCATCTACTCTTCAAATTTCCCAGTGTATAAAATTGCCCACAAGGTATAAAAATATTGATTAAAATTCTCAAAATCAATTTTTATTGATGACCAAAATATTATTAACTTCCCCCATTCCTTCCCTGTTTAGTTCTCATTGTTTAGCATTGTAGTGTGTTTAACCTATTTAGACTCTAAGTAGGAGCTTAAAATATTTTGCAATTACTCTTGATAACCACAATAATACTCAAGGAGAACAGGAATAGGAAAAACACCTCAGGACATTTGTACACAAAATTAAGTAAGCTGCTTTGTAAACAGTTTGGGAAGGGGTGTGATACTTTGCAAATTTCCTAGTTTCTTCTAATATGAATCAATTATTTCTTCAATAGAAACACATCACTTCAAAATTTATTTAATAGATTCTCTGCAAACAATTATAAGTTATTAAACATTAGTCAAAACATTTTTATCATACCTCTTACAAAAGTACAAATTCCATGCCCTAAATAAACAAATAAATAAATATCTATATATGTAGGCTTGCACAGTATTTAGTGGTTTACTACATTAAAAAGCAGAATGAATACTTCCTAGGACCACAAAAGGAATTTTCTTTTTAACTCTTTTTCTGTATTTGTGTGTCAAGCCCTTTTCTTCTGTAAATATTTCTAAATACGGAGCTCCAGAACATCAGTCCAAAGAGGATTCTCAGTGTAGGGCTTTTGTTTTTTTGTCATTAAAATTCTCCAAGGAATATACCCAGCATGGCTATAATGAGGTGATTGGTGACAGCCAATGTGGCTTTACTAAGGGCAAATCACGCCTGACAAACTTGGTGGCCCTCTGCGATGGGCTTACGGTCTTGGTAGATGAGGGAATTGCATTGATGTCATATACCTGGACTTGTGCATGAAATTCTTGTCTCTTAACTGGTGGTTGATGAGAAGTTCAACATGAGTAACATGCAGCTCAGAAAGCCAGTTGTATCCTGGGCTGCATCAAAAGCAGTGTGGCCAGCAGGCCGAGGGAGGTGATTCTGCCCTTCTACTGTGCTCTCGTGAGACCACACTTGGAGTACTGCATCCAGCTCTGGGGTCCCCAGCACAGGAAGGACATTGACATGCTAGAGCAAGTCCAGAGGAGGCCACGAAGATGAAGAGAGGACTGAAGCACCTCTCCTATGAAGAAGACAGACTGAGAGAGCTGGAGCTGTTCAGCCTGGAGAAGAGAAGGCTCTTGGGGAGACCTAACTGCAGCCTTCTAGTATCTAAAGGGGCTGACGAGAGAGCTGGGAAAAGACTTTTTACAAGGGCATGTAGTCATAAGACAAGGGGGAATGGCCTTAAACAGAAAGAGGGTAGGTCTAGGTTAGACATAAGGAAGAAAAAATTCACAATGAAGGTGGTGAGACACCAGAACAGGTTGCCCAAAGAAGCTATGGATGCCCCATCCCTGGAAGTGTTCAAGGCCAGACTGGATAAGGCTTTGAGCAACCTGGTCTAGTGGAAGGTGTCCCGGCCCATGGCAGGAGGGTTTAACTTGGATGATCTTTAAGGTCCCTTCCAACTCCAACCATTCCGTGACTTTATGATTTGTGTTTAAAGTACTTCTAGAAAGAGTCAAAGCAAACTTACCTACTTGTGCAAATATGTACTAAAGAAATAAGGCAAGCAGGGTTGGGTTTTGTTGGTTATTTGCTTATATATAACTATAGCTAAAAGTCCTTATTGTGTCCTGCTGTTGTTTGCTACAACATCAAGTGTTTTTGAGTCCTCTGACACACAGATCAGGGTCTTTAAATTACTACAATACATAATCACTTTTTTTTCCTCTAATGGAATAAATATTTACTAGCAGTAGTCATGCACAACAGCAACTTTGCATTATGTCTTGAAAGCTCAATTTTTAAGATGAAATATATCAAATAATCTGAAAGTAATCCTGTGGTTTTTTACCTTTCCCATTTCACAGCAACAGTGCAGACTCTGCACAGTGAATTTAATTCTACTTGTACTAAGTATGCTCATCCTAGTCACTTTTTTGAAGATCCCTAAAAGGAATGCATTAGCTCATTAAATTCTCAAACCACAGACAGAAAATGACCGGGTTTTTTTTCATAGTTGATGTAAAAATTTTATGCATTTTATGTATTTATGCATTTTATTTTATTTATGTATTTATTATTTCCAAATGCAAAAACCTGCATGTCTAGGAGAGTGAAACTGCATCTAGCAAACAGCTGAAATGAAAAAAAGGTTTACATGACAATTGACAGCTGTCCTTGTAAGAGGAAAGAGGTATAAGAGAGTTGTCAGGACTCTTGAAAACCATTCAGCACTGCAAGCCAGATGATACACTGAAGCCAGTTGCCCCCATTTCGAATGGGAAAGACAACTGTCGGTCATTCAGTAAGGAGGTGTTTTGGAAAGGGATCAGTCAGTCAAACCAAGCGAAGAGTTGACTGACTTTGTCAATTATTTTGCCTTTTTATTTTGTTCATCTGCACACTTTTTTGCTCCCTAGTCCTCTTCAAGCAGGGTGTAACATTGTAAACCAATGTGAGACAACATCAAAAATGGAGAAATAAAGTCCTAATGTTTGTCTGTCCACATAATTTTCTCTAAGGGTTGCTTTAGTTCTGTAATTGCTAATTAAAAAAAAAAAAAACAACAAATAAACAAACCAGATCAGAGCAACCAAACGAGGCAGTTGTTTAAAGCATTTAGTGCTTGAATTATAAGGAAGAGATAAGACACTAATATTGTCTTTTGTACTGACTACTTCTTTTAAAACTGTATAGAACAGCCACATCACAGACAACTGCCTAAGGTATCAGCATCCTTATACTTGGCTAACAGCCTTGGTCATGCCTGAAGTTCATGGAATTACTTAGGGCAAGCAGTCAACCTGCCTTGCAGTGCCCTGTGCAACACCCTGGGCTGTGCGGACATTACACTGATTTATCCAAGGTGTCAATAGAGTCGTGTTCTCAGCCCATTCCACTGCATGAGTGGCAGCAGAGCCAGCAAGTAGTTGGAATATTGTGTTGTGCTGAACTTTGAGCATGAAATAACCAAAATAACTTTAAGTGCTGCTGACTCATGGTTGCACTTACGCATTATTCAGCCTTCCTTTACCCATTTTCTATCTGTAACTTTAGAAATTTTCTTTTTTACTGTTTTATTTTTTTTCAAGACAAGAAAGGGTAAAAAAAAATTGGATGCTGTCCTAAGCTATCTCCAAGCACCAGGCCCGTATCTGTGTGGGAATGCTGTGATCTCCCATGGCTGCCAAAACATTTGTGTGGAATTTAAGAATTTTTTTTTGATCTTCAGACCCATAATTGTGTAGCAGTCTTGTTAAATAGTCAACAGTGGAAAGAAATCAGTAAAAGGGTGATAGAAGGGCTTTACAACTTGATCTCCTCTTTTGAATCCCTTCTGTTCTTTTAAAATTAATGAGTAAGACTAAATTAGACCCCTTTAACTAGTGACAATAGCTTCATTCTGGTATCTGATGCCAATTTAGGCAGTATTTCTGCAGTACCAAACTTGGTAATTATGTCAACAGTCTCCTAACACTTGCTGCTTGCACTTGGGGATCTATGCCCAACACTGGCAGGGTGACATTAAAAGCATTCTGCACCTCACACACTGCCTCCCTGGAGTGGGGATGAATTCCCATACTCATGGCCAACACTGTACTTACCTGCTGCACAAATGTGAAACTCTGACAATCTTTACAAGGGAATGAACTTCATTTAAGAATGCCTTGTAGAACCTCTGTGTCATGCTGCAAAGCAATACAAATGACAATTCAGAGAACTGAACACAGGAACTGTGTGTAGCTTGAAGATAAATTGACAGAACTCACATAGACCACAGTTTTATAAACGGCTTTAGTAACAGAGTAGCTGTATATACAAAATTTCTTACCTCAGTTGTTACTTTAATTTGCAAGCATGGATACTTCCATACTCAGAAGCAGTACTTCCAGGAACACCTCAACTTCCACCATAGTCAAAAGGGGAAATGACCTACCTCTGCCATAAATTAGTAGAGGCCTCTTGGCAACTTGACATCAAATTCCCCAAGTGTTCTGTTTATCCCCAAATTGCCCACTTGTATTTTTTGCACCTCCTCCTAGACAGTACAAATAACATATTCAGAGATGGGTTCTAAGCAATTTAATAACTTTATTTACCATTTTATTTATCATAGCACACCCTAAGCATCACCACTGCCAGTCAAGATTTTAATATAGTGCACCCACAGTAGTTTTCACAAAAAATACTTTCTTATCAGATTGTTCACAGGCAAGAAGTATTTATTCCTGGGGGAGGTATTTCAATGTGTCACTATTCTAGGCATCAAACACCTTTTGATGCTCATCTGAAACCAACTGTATGTCATCACTGTGAAATAACTACAGGAATGTTAATTCTAAAACAAGTCCATTATCATTAATTGTTTAACATTTAATAACAGAAAAAGTTTATCTTTGCACTGAGATTCCTACTGTTTCTTTTTTTCCAGACATTTCCCCTCAGCTGTCCTGCCAAGCTTTCAGCATTTTAAATTATGTCTTTGAACTGAGGTAGGAAGAAGTCAGTTGAAGGCAGTCTCCCAATGCGTTACTACACATTTGACTAAATGTAATGTATTGTCGTCTTTAAATAAAGGAATGCTTAACTGGAATTGAACATAGTTTATCAGACAGAAAATCTGTAGCATCTCATGATGCAAACTGTACTTTCAGACTGCTACACCAAGACCAATATACTATGTTTTTCTTAGAGTATCCTTAGTTTTTTTATAATACATTTGTATATATTAAAAAAATTACAACCACACACAATCTTTTGTTCACGGAGATGTTTATTTTTGTCTTCAATGTTTGTAGGGAATACGATTTCACTACAAAAGTGTCTCAGAGAAACTCCATTCAAAGTCTAGGCTTAAGAATGAAGGGAAAATATACTTTCAGCTGTACCAGTCCTGAGCAAAGTTTAAAAAAAAATTTAAAAAAAATCCTCTAGAGATAGGAAGCAGCACCAATTAAACCACAGGGCCTCTTACTGATATCTGCTCATGCTTTCTTTTCTGCTTGAGAATTGGTAAAAACTTAGGTAGGAAGAATTACTTTATTAGAAGGTGGACATAAGATTGTCAGTCCCAATCTCTCACCAAAAACCACGCATTTTTTTATAGTTAGAGTCCAGGGCCTTAGTTTTACTTTCCACTAAGTAGTCAGGACTGCTAACAGCAAGACTGTTGCCCCCACAGTGTAACATTTTCTCTTACTTAAATTGGTAAATAAATATTTATTTACGTACTTCTTTTAATAAATATTTATTTCCTGTCAAGTTCCTGTAAAGTTACATTGTTCTTAGAAGTATACTACTCGTAGCAGTTATAAAAATTCCAATAACATCAGGTCTCAAAGTAATTCAAGTGGCTTACATTCTGTCTCATTCTGTGAAATGATTTCAAGCCATTGGTAACACTCAGTACTTAATAGTTGGTTTATCCAGGACATTCAGATTCAACCTGACAAAGTAAATACTTCTAAGAGTCAGAACAGAAAAGGCACTTACTCCTTTTGGGGAAGACACCTGGAAGGTAAGATTTTTATTTTCAAAATAACAAGCCCTTTTTCTAACAACAAAATCCTTAAAAAATTACCACTGGATTAACATAAACCCTATGAACAAAACCAAGTTATGTACCCCTTCCCAAGAACGGTAATATTGTCTTTGATTGAGAAACTGAGAAATATGAAAGCATCCAAAAATACTCACAAGTTTTATTCGCTTCTGTGATATTCCAGTAGACCATCATAGCTGACTAGAGGAAAAAAAATCTCCTCCAGAAAATGTATGTTTTACAAATTGAAATTTCTGGACTTTTTCTTATTAAATACTTGTATTAGCAATAAAATGTAAGACTGCAGTGTATTATAACCAGGAACATCACCTTGGTTACAACTGATAACCTTTACAGAGGAGTAAATCTTTTGTCAAACTCTCTTGCAATTGAACCATTGCCTCAGCGATGCTCTATATAAGGCACTTAGCAAATTTTAAGAGCATCTGACAGTACTGTTGGTAGTCTTGATTTGTTTGTGAGGATGGTCTAATAAGATGCAAGATTAACAGGGTAAGGTGTGGAATAATCGCTGAAAACAGCCATATGAACTACTGGTCACAAAACTCTTTAGAAGCCACATCCATTCTATTTTGGGTTACTACTACCCTCGCAACATAAAGCTACCTTTTTTTTCTAGTAGTCCAGGAATTAGACCCTTTAAAATTGTATACTGGCTAATTGTACAAGAGGAATTTATTTTGTTCCTGACTAGCTCTTTAATCAAAACTTCTGCTCTTTCAATAAATTACCTGCATCCAAGAGTGAAATGTTCATAGTATTTACTATTCAATTCACAAACCCCTACATCTATCTTTAGACCAAAAGTCACTGAACCAACAGGTATCAAGAATTATAAAGCAAGACACATCTCTAAGAAGTGTGTAATGCTGCCTAATTCTAATACAGTACACAGAAAAAAAGAATACTAATAGACAAAGAAGCCATTATATATGGCTCTTCTAGGGATTATTCTGAAAATACATTTTCTTTGTTCTTCCTCCCCCCCTCCTTATCCTCTGTCTTTGTGTTGGACTGAGGGTTTTTGAAGGTGTTTGACATTTTAGAAACAGAAGCTGGTTGGTTGGAATTTCTGCAGGAAAACTGAGAAAGCGCACAGTATCTGTGCATGCTCCTCAGACCTTCTCTAGCAGGGACTGAGAGCATTTTCTTAGACCTTTCAAAAAGCCTCCAGGTACTGTAAGTTACTTGGCAACATTATGCCTGCATCAGTTGGAAAGCATTTTACTTATTTTTCCATGTCTGGAAGCCTCCCAGCACAGAATCAGATCATTTGCAGAAATGGTGACAAAATTGATAATGACCTCTAAGCTTCACATACCATTGTTAGTCTTACAGAAACCAGAATACAGTTGAAGAACTGGGAACAGTCATCAAATTCCCCACTTACAAAAGCAGGCATTATAAATTATTTCAAACTCACTGCATCCACTTATGCTATAGAAGTACTTAGAAGAAAAAAAAAAAAGGAGAGGAAGGAATCAGAATGTGTTTCCTTCAGAGCTGGAAGTGGTGATACTCAATAAATACACATAACCTGAGGAGATTTCCCTTGCCTAGATTAATTCATAGCTGAAGGCTGTTACAATAAGACATGACCAGTCAGATAGCAAATTTTCTTTCTGAGATCTGTGCCATCAGGAACTGGGCTTGACATTGAAGCATTTTTATTTATTCTGTGCAAAGAAGGATCAGTTTGAAATAGATTATTCATGCATGGCAAGTATATATTAGATGCATATAAACAGCAAATTAGATCTGCGTTCCCAAAGTGGGTATTCACTCACCTGTCTTAACTAACAGATGCAAAGTGATTGAACAACTCCATCTTTTTTTAGCGACAAATACCTGGGAATATCTTTGAACCAAATTCAATTTGTATTTTGTAGAACCTAGTGAGATTGGGAAGGAGGTAAAGAGCCACATTTCATTAGCCCAGGTTACACTTATTTCCTTCTTCTGTATACTTTTGCTTCTTCATACAGAAGAGGAAAATTGGGTGTGCAAGGGTAGCAGGTTATCAAAAACTACATTAATAGTCTCTTTTCCTCAGCTGTCTCCTCAGTAACTCTGTTGTAAATCAGTGCTACATTGGTCTACAGCCACGTTTCTTAAAATCTTAAAAGTTTAAGGGGGTATGTTCACTTTGCTTTGACCAAGATCTATATTTATAAACAGATGTGCTGGTTTGGGCTGGGATACAGTTAATTTTCATCACAGTAGCTGGTATGAGGCTGTGTTTTGGATTTGTGCTGGAACCAGTGTTGATAACACAGTGATGCTTTGGCTATTGCTCAGTAGAGCTTACACAGAGTTCTTTTCTGCTTCTCATACCAATGCACCAGTAAGAAGGCTGGGGGTGCACAGGGAGTTGGGAGGGGACACAGCCAGGACAGCTGACACCAAGTGACCATAGGGATCCCAGACCATATGGTGTCATGCTCAACATATAAAGCTGGGGATAGAAGAAGGAAGCAAGTGACATTCGGAGTGATGGCATTTGTCTTCTGCCATCACTGTCATGTGTGACAGAGCCCTGCTTTCCTGGGGATGGTTGAACACCTGCCTGCCCATGGGAAGTGGTAAATGAATTACTTTTGTTCTACTTGTGTTTGCAGCTTCTATTTTACCTGTTAAACTGTCTTTATCTCAACTTGTGAGTTTTCGCACTTTTACTCTTCCAATTCTCTCCCCCCTTGCACCAGGGGAGAGTAAGCAAATGGTTGTGTGGTACTTATTTGCCAGCTGGAGTTAATGCATGACTTTGTTAAACAACAGAGAACAGTGTAATCAACTACTACACTTTTCCAGGTGGCCTAGGCCCTGAAAATGTAGTCCTGAAGGGTTTCTTGCTCAAATATTCTTCCCTCTGCCAAGATATGCCACAATTTCTACAAAATAATTAACATTTTGGAACTATTTTTTTAACTATTGTTACTGAGCAACATTTTTCTGGTGGTAATTTTCCTTTTAGACATATGAGACAAGGAGTGATTAGACAATATCACCATTTTGTCTTTTACAAAATCCCAAGTGGGACAGCAATCTCTTGTGATCATTCTAAGTAATATTAACCAGGAGCTATGGAATATGCTTTTGCTCTTCATCTTCCATGTTTAACTCCTTAAAAGTACACCTAAAACTTCCTGTGCCCATTAAACTGCTCTTAAAATCTCCTGTGCCAGTAGACAGAGCAAGTTCATTCTGATAACTTTTATCTGTCTCCCACAATAAAAGGGGCAAGATCAGGACCAAATACATCTGAATGATTACATAATATACAGTGGTGGTTTCTTTTAATGAATTTTCACCAACACAGTTAAATGGAGGGTGTAAACAGCTCCTGTATTATTAAGTCTACAGGATCTGAAACTAATTTATTTGTTTGCTGCATTTTATTTCACTGTTTGAATCCAATGATATAGTTTAGGCAGGTGGACACACCTGGACTCCTAGGCCTCATTCACAGAAAAATTCTTGGGAAAGTAATGTAAACATCACTTGCTGTTGGATAATAGCATTTTCTAGCAAGTGTGCAGCTATCCATTGCTGATGCAACATTTACTCCATTCCAGACAGGAAGTTACAATAATTTCTGTAAAGCACTGACTTCTAATTAACTTGTGAAGTACTTTTTCAAGTTTAATTTAGTGGTTAAATCCTGTTAATTCCTGTTAAAACATGGGTTCTTTAGATGTCAAACTAAGCTCAGTCTAAGATTGTTGTCTTAGACAAATCTTTTATGTCTTTTTTAACAGTTTCTCATCTTGTTAAAACTTTGACAGCCCAAAAGAAATCCATCTGAGCTTCCTCAGTTTGACTGATTTTACCGTACAGCTTTTGCTAGCTTGTGAAGTTACAATCTTTCAAACTTAGACTGCTTTGGCATAAGTTGGGGCACAATTTCAGGTTAGCAAAACCTTTCAAATCTCAAACTGTATTTCCAGCACACCCAAATCTTAACGTTAAGATAGAAGTACGCATTTGCAAAATGCCATATTTGACTGACTGGTCCACTAGCCAAAACCAGCACTAACTTTTATCTTACCTATCTCATTCCTGAGTAAACACAGGCCATATTTACTACAAATATAGCACTTGCTGTTGCCTTCAGAGAAATTAAATTTAGATGCCTTTTTATTTCCATACAGTTCCGGATGTTTGAACAGACTCCCTAGTAGGGAGAAGAATCAAATAAAGGCATATGACAGAAAGAAAACAAACAGATACAGTTAAAGAACCCCAATGTACATAAAAAGTACACAATAGACAGTTCCATAACAAATCCATCCGGTATAACAAAGTAAAATCAATCAGCATAATGTGGGAAACTGTCAGGCTTTTGAGACAGGAAAAAGTAAAGAATCTAAGATGCAAGACGTGAAGTTTAGAAGACCCGCCTAAACACTATAGTGAACCGGTAGAAACAAATTCTAGAAAGTACTCTCTCTCACATGGCTACTTGAAAATGTGCTATTCATAATATTAAAAAAAAGTAAAGTGCACAAATTATAAAATCAAACCCTTTTAGAGATTTTACAATCTATGCTCCAAAACATCAAATATCTAGATAAACATATAATAGGTTAAAACATCAGTCATGGTATTAATATCAAGACTATTAATATCAAGAATTTTAAATTTTTAAATTTAATTTATTTATTACTATCACCTCTGTTGGAATCAAGATTTATATGGTATAATTTAACCTGCTACTGAGTAGAACTTTTGTTTATCTCAAATATGTAGATTTAAATTCATGAAAAAAAAAATTAGTCTCAACTGTATTTGTTCTTTTCCTTATAATTAATATAATTATATTAATGGCAAAGTTAGGAAGATAAGAGACTGAATTACTGTACACTTTATCAATGAACTATTTATACTCCATTTTCCCCCATTCCCCCCCCCTTTTCCTTTCTGAAACCAGACAATCAATCAACACATGAAGGAACTCATTTACATGGAACACTATCGCACTTGTCTTTGTTGGGCCACCATTTCATGAACAATCCGGAATTTATGGCTGTTGAAGACTGGTGCATATATAGATTTAACAAATAACAGTTCTTATGCAGAGAGCAATCACAGAGAAAAATAGCTAATCAAAACACATTACAACATTAAATTTTCACTTTTTATAAATGGAGTAAAGATGCTTTTAAATATATTTACAGTTAGAAAAAGGACTTAGGATTACTACACGTCAAAATTATTTTAAAATTATGAAAGTGAAGTTCATTTAAATTATAACACTATGAGCAGAGTCATACGCCATATTTTACTTAGAATTTGTCTACTCTGCTGTCTGTATTGTCATATCCCTTTAATCACCAACAGGCAAAAATTATCTTAACTTTGCTTAACGCTAAAACAAGCATCATTTCAATGAAATGCTGGCAACCTAATAGTTCAGTTAAAACCACTACAGCTTTTTAGATCCTAGCTGAGTTGTGTTGTATCTGTAGTTAGAAATTGCTTTTCAATGTCTTGTTCCATAAAGAACAGTGAGATCTTTCTGCATTCTTTTTAATTACACATACTTGTACCACATTTTTGAGATTATTCTCTAGAGACAGTTGAATCATAGTAAAATCCACTCCATCCTTCCTTCCTTCCAAACTAGATGGCTACTTATTTCTCAAGATAGAGTCCTCTTGTGGGCAGTGCTGGGTGGTGTGTTCACATAAACTTAAATGAAAATACACTTCCTATTTAGTGAATTCCTGGTAATAGATCATTATTTGTTTGCAAGGAATTCTGAAATGTGATAGCATTCATTACATTTTAAATTAGAAACACATTTCATAAAACTTCTTCCAATGAGATTTGCTATCCTAACACTGCTTACTTTAAAGAGTTTCAGCTCTTTTGTAATCCATTATATCAATATAGTCCCACCTAAAAATAAAAAAATAAAGTTGAGAAGCATGTATTTCTCTTTTGAAAACTAGTGTATGTTATTCTGAACACCAGCCCAGCCCCAAAAACATTTAAGAACCTTAAAAAGCTTTGTTTTACAGATACTAAGAGTTGGCCAGGTAACAGCAATGAACAGACAACCTATTTAGTAAGATAAAGCAGAATACATAATAAACAGGTCAGTAGTTATCCATCTGAAATAGCCTATAATTAACATTTGATGTCTAAAAAGTTTAAACAGCAACACCAAGGAATGAGGTATGTATGTTCTCAGATATCACATCAGACTCTCATTTTATGCAACTAACTGTATTTCACAACTAGCATCTTACAAAATAGAACAGTACCATTGTGCCTGAAGTACTGCATTAAAAACAGAAAAATACATTACTACAAGAAACCACCAAACATCACAATTGTCAGGGGCTACAAAAATCCATTGTTTTAAGCTGTTAAGAAGACATATCATATGTTGGTAATAATTTGGGGCTGGATTCACTACCAAGAAGGTCCATCCAACTTTTACATGGGCTTTAAAATATATTTACTTTAAATGAAAAAGAAAAGGCTCATAGGAATGTGAGTGCACTATCTCCCTAAAAGGAGCTAAATGGACTTTTGTACTGAACCAGAATCTATAATTTAAAAACTATACATGAATTGTATGTATGTATCAAAACACTTATTGGTTGTAAACAAAAATGCAAAATCTGTATTCACAAAAATATTTTATTGGTAACTTTACATAATACCAGAAGGGATTGTAAATAATTCCGCTCTGTATCAGCATATTGCTAAGTGCGTAAATGTTGACAGTTTATGCCATAAAGCAGGATGGATACTGAGCTTTTTTCCATATGATTTATGACATAATATATTCCAATAGGCCAAATCAATATTAAAGAAATTTCTTATTCTTGTGCAACATCTGATATTCCTGTAATGAAATAAGTAACTAAGTGACACTAGAAAAATTTGGGGCAAGGAAACAGCACTAAGCAGAAACAAGAACTGCAGTTCTGTTATTTTTAAAGCTTTTCCAAACTTTCATATTTCCAAATGTTAGTTTTTGCCAAATGCATCATCATCTGTAGTTCAGTATTTGTTACACAACACAGAATACCAGTGTACAGCGACAGTGCAGTACTTCACCTGAATTGCAAGGTTGACTAATCAATGCTTAGAACATGTTTTCTATTTTGCTTGTAAACATTACAATAAGTGTTTTAAGTGTCAAAAAATATTGGTAAAACCATCAACATAATTCAGTAACAGTAATCTAGTAAAATGTGTCAAACATTGGCAAAAATCCATACAAATGTTTTCTTTAATAACATTTTTCCTATTTAACCACACCAAGTACCAGCAGGTGTTTTTAAGAAGATAATTATTATGAAAATTCTGTCGCAGCAATAGTTGATTAAGTTGATCTTTGACTTGCATACATATAACTATGTTTCACAATTCCCAAATAATACATATTTAGGCAGCTTGAAGTATGTTATAAAAATTTAAATTCAGTACATGCCAATAGAGGAGACTCCAAGAGTTGTGTTAGAATTCACTAAACTAAAAGTGAAAATTCAATAATAAAATTCAATAATGAACATTCAAACCACATTTTCATGGCACCCTTACACATGAAGATTAAAAAGTTGGTATGAACATGCTTTGTAAGCACTTGCAGATTGCATTTAAATTATTATAGAATGATAGAATATGCTGAGTTGGAAGGGACCCACAAGGATCATCTAGTCCAACTCTGGCCCTGCACAGGATACCCCAAGAATCACATCATGTGCCTGAGAGCATTGTCCAAATGCTTCTTGAACTCACACACGCTTGGTGCAGTGGCCACTTCCCTGGGGAGCCTGTTTCAGTGCACACTTTGGGTGATAAACCTTTTCCTGACATCTAACCTAAACCTCCTCTCACTCAGCTTCATGTCATTGTTTCTACCACTGCACTTCTTTCTTTTTTTTTTAGCTGCATAAATTATGTTCCAGTCAATATACCAATTATGTATGAATAATCTGTCATGAAAATGTGGTAACAGGTGACAGAAGTTATGTTTTGAAGAGAAGAGACTAAAACTGGAGGAAATAAACTTTAATGAGATTCCCCATTCAGTGATGATGCTTCTCCTCGGGGTGAAGATGACCTGGACATTCCCCTCTCTGTGTTGTCAGAGCTAGAACCACTCTGACTGTGTTGATCTGCAGAAGCAGCACTGGAAGCAGGTGGTGACTTAGTTTTCTCCTTAAAGTCTGTAATTATGACTGTCAGATCTCCAACGGTAACTTCCAAATGCTGAGCGCTACTTCGATCCACATTTTTCAACCTTGGCCTAAATAAAGCAAATAATCATATTAAAAGCACACACACCACCTTATTATCTCATCTCCCTCCTACTTTTTAGGAGCTCTGGAGAGCAAACGTATATAAGACTGCCTTGTGCAACATTCAATACATAGGAAAACAATGTACCACAAGTGTTAACGGTGGAGTGTTTCCTACTATGTTTTACGTTGAAATAGTTGAATATAACACATTACTACCTAAAATCATTTAGAAGTTGACATTATGAATAATGTCACTGTGCAGCAATATGGATGTACTGCACATGTGAAGGTTTTTACTTTTAAAGATCAAGTCTTTATTGTGACTATAGGAAGTTACAAATTTGATGCAGTGAAACCTCTATCTCTGCAGCAGCCTTAAGCAACAATTCTGTGTAGAAAATTATGTTCAATAACGATGATGTTGGTATCTGTCTTTTGAATTCAACAGCACAGATAGTGTTAACTTGCAGCAGGTGTTACCTCATTTGAAAACCTCACTAGGACCACCACTATACTATTTGAACTGGACTTGGTGTTCACAGTTTAACTCTGGTACTTCTGGCATATGCTGTGATTTAAATTATGCACAGAGATGAGTATTACACACAGTGTTGATAGGGTATCTTCATCTAATCTTTCAATTGTTTGATGTTTCCCAACATCTCAGTGTCCTTAATCCTAAACATGACTTTCTAAATGACTGCTCTCTCTTGACTCTCAGTCTCTACCTGGTTCTGACCCTAATGATCTTATTTCAGGCACAGGAAAGGCATCTGCTACTTCTCTGCATAACTAATCCCAATGAATATTTCTGTCTTATATACTTCTCAGCTTCTCAGATTTTTGGCACAGCACTATTGCCACAATAACTTTATGCTTAGTTTGTGATGAATTAGGAGTTAAACCTGCTGCTTTTGTTTAGCAGTTTGAACCTTCCTTCCACCTGGTCTTACAGCAAGATCAAGGCTTTTACAACAGTTTATCTGTACTGTAATAATTCATGCTTTCAGTTCTAAGAGTCCAAGGTTTCTTTCAGCATCCCAGATGCAGCACAGATATTTTTAACACTAGATAATATACATGCCTTATTCTGTCACATTAATTTATACCCTAGTTCAGCCCTTCAAACCTAAAGGGTTCTGCAAGGCTATCAATAACCAACTTACTTTCCCACTCATCTGCAGTCTGGTACTGGTTCTCTCTCTCCCCCACAACTATTCTGTATGAAAATTAGTCACTCCCATCCTCTCTCTTTTCCTGATGAGAGTAACATCATCAATTTGCCTATCAACAGTTTTGTATGGTGTGAGAAATACTTTGTAACCCTTAAAAGAATACCCTTAATAACCCTTAAAAAGTCTTTCTTTCACTATTCAGCTGATCTCCATCTTCTGACCACAATTACATACTGCAGGCCTTCACGTTTTATAGACATCCTAAACCAATGAAACTTTACAGACCAATATTTAGCCTTATTGTTTGCCACAGCACTTAAAAAACAATACAATCAAAGAACATCTCTTATTTTTGTTTGTAAATTACATTTTACCAATACTGCAAAGGTTTCTAGATTTTTTTACCTGGTTTTCTTATGACTGTTCTTTTTGCTTGCTTCCTTTTCACTTTTTTCCTTTTCTACTTTGTCTTTTTTCTCTTTCTTTGATTGTGTAGGGGGCACGAATTGCTGAGGAACCTGCTGTGCAACCAGCTGAGAGACAGGTCGAGGTTTCCTGTGTGCACATATATATAGACACGCATAACGCTTAGACTTCACAAGTCTCAAACTGTCTACTGTTCAGTAATTAACATTAACAATTACTATAAAAAGAAATAGTGTTAAAACATATCTTGCTGCTAATACTTCGTTAAGATAGCATATAAAATTTAAATGTATTACAGCCTTTTGTTTCACCTACTTGCATTATCAGCAGATTTTTTTTATTCTACAGGATTTAGAGACAATATTTTGTGATTTGCCCTCTTCTCCCAGTTGTCGTATCCAGACAGAGACCTCATAGAGCAAACTCCAAAAGATAAAGCTCCCAGAGACAATACTTTACCACCCACTCCCAGCCCCCTCAAATGCTGAAGGAGTCTGTTTTGAGTGTACTCCAATACAGACATAGATAATCTGTATCCCAAAAAGGAAAAAGCTGACCTTTAAGAGCTAAACCCACTGTTGGCCTTATAGAATAAAACTTAAGTGTTTTCAGCTCAAGGAAATTCATTGAAGGCAATAATAAATCCTGTTGTGTATCATTTTTATCACGTTCACTGGAAAAAAATATACTGCACTAATATTAGTAGGATATAACTGTCAGAAGACATATAGTTTGAGAGCTGGCAACGGAAACATACAGACACATTCCACCAGTATACACAGTGCAGGTTTCATTTCCAAGTTTTCATCCAAATTAAGTGTGGGAAGAGTAAAGCAGGCAAAAGAATTTCAGCAGTTCATTATTTTTACATTTTCCAAAATATTATTTTGAAATGGCTTAATTTTTATTCTGTTTTGTATTGTAATATAATTATTCTAGTTTGAAAGGAAATGTTTTCCTCTTTCCAACACAAATGTATTTATTTATTCTCTAATTTTGGAATTAAGAAATTTCAAGTCATGGCATATAAAAAAGAAGGTCCTACTAATACTCTGAAGATGTAAATTTCTTCTCCAAAACAATGTTTACCCTGCCAAGCTCTTGAGTTTTGTTAGTTGGGTTGTGATGTTGAGTTTTGCAATTTTACAAATTATATGCACTGTGACATTCAGAATACAAAGCAGTTATTAAAGCAAAAGAAGCTATCAGCTTATATACATATTTATTTATCCCAACCCACAGGATTACGCTACTGGCACTTCTTGCTTAGATGAAGAGATGAGAAAAATAACAAAAGGAGGAAATCAACACAGCTCCCATTAACAAGTTATATTTTCAGTAACCATTGCAACAGTTCATATTACAGAGTGAAAGTCAAACTACAAGAATCCATGGAGTGTGGGAAAGGCAGTTAATATAAACTAGCTGAGATTTCGTGAGTCTTCACAGCAAGTTCTTAATGAATTAAAGTAAATTAAAGCAAAGACTATTAAAATTGTCAACACAATAGAACTTTGAAGTAAAAACTAGAGTACCATTTTTACACTCTAGAACTAAGCCAACACTGACTCATTGAGAGAGAAAGAACAGGAACAAATCACAACTGGCAACTAGGTATATCAATTGGCAACTATATGACTACAGGCTCTTCAGGAGAGCACTAGGACCTTGCAAAGCACACATTGTACTGAGTCCATAACCACTGAAACAACTTGATGGACTACAGATGTGTAGGTTAACAGAGTCCATAGGACATTTTTAAGAAAACTTGTCTCAGAATTGTTTTGACCTTTTGTCATAGCAGTTCATAACAGAGCAAGAACCATCAAGGTGTAATTGATGCATGAGCTTACAATTTCAGGCAGAAAATATCTGTCATATATAAACAAAACTAATGACCTGTCTTGAATTGAAGATTGTTCCAGGAGATAGGGATACAGTTTCTCATGACAGTCAAGTGACAATCCCATTATTACTACACAGTGACCTGAGAGAATAATCTGACGTGTTACTTATGAATTAAGACAGTAGTGAACTTCTGGACATAGAATGAATTGTTTCCCAGAACTGTGGACAACACCATGATTATGGAAACTTGTTAAATGGAGGGAAAAAAAATCTTAGCCAAATAATTTTAGAAGTTGTCAATTTGTAACAATTTCAGTTCTTGAGGGCAAACTAGATAATTGGGAAACTAAGCTTAGTTCTAAGTCCTACGTTTAGAACTTCTTTTCTTAATAACACAAAACAAGTGAGACTGAAAAATAAAAATCTTTGCAACAAGGTACAGAAGTCAGTTAAGACAAAAAAGGCACAGAGAAATCATGTTTTGGAAGATGCATTAAAAATTAATCAAGAAGTTCTATGTGGTTTTGCTGTAACAAGGGATTCTACTCAGTTATTTTATTCCTTCCATTGAAACAGCCAGCTTTTGGTTGTCAATTATTTCTATAACTGTCTATCAGTTATATTGATGTTCTAAATTTTATTATGTGATTTGTCACTTCCAGATTTATTAAATGACGCATTCAATGTCTTATATTCAAAAATGAGAAAAAAAGTAATTCATATCTCTCAACATTAGGAATGTCTTTCAAGCATTCCATTTTTTTTCTTTAGGTACTCAAAAGGGGCTACTAAATTGCAGCCAGGCACTTTGCAAGCCATGCAGGAGTTAGGAAATATCTTTACCACTCATGAAGCTTTAACCTGATAGAATTGTTCCTGACTTAGCAGTAGCTGAATCATGTCATTCAAGCATGAAGCAATTCATAGAGAAAAGGCTTTCTCAGAGAAGATAAAAGTAAGAGAAACTATCCTGTAATAGAAAATTGATTTTGATGATTTGTCAAAATACATTTTAAATTATTGGTTTTCAAAACCAGTTAAAGACTCCTTGCATAAGGTTGCTACAGATTAAGTATATACAGACAGTGTTAATACTACCTTTTATTTCATCAATATACTTACGGTAATTTGCTTTTTAAGCACATTTAAGAGTACCTGAGTTTTCTGGTGTTTAGAAAGAAGTTCTATAATCTTTTCCATTAAGATTACAAGCACTATTGCCTCTACCACTGGGCCACTATTGGACCACCTCAACTGAACAATTCAGAACTACAAGCAAAAATGTTCATAAAAACAATACATATCATTTAGCCAGCCCCTAAAAGCTTTGCATTCTTATCTAGTAATGCCACTTCACTAATTTGAAGGGGAACCCTAATAAAGAAAGGCATACACTATTACAGAAGATAAGAGCTATCAGTTCCTTCCAACAGAAGTGAACTTTACGGTTTAAGCACTGAAGAACATTCCAGTTCCAAATATTACACCTCTACCACCTAGTTTTCCTTTTCAGACAGTGTTATCTTTCTTCTAAGTTAACATCAGCCATACTTCTACCTACACTTCTATTCCAACTTCTATTCCAGAGTTTTATTAATTCTCTAATTCCAATGTTGTTTTCAAGGTGCTGCACACAAATACGCACATACTTCATAGTCTCCTTAAAAAAATTAGGAAAACTAACATTTTTTGTTTTTAAAAAGCCAACAGACACTAACACAAACATACAAGGATAAAATTTTTTGTCTTCTCTACAATTCCCATAAATACTAAATGATAAGGATGTCACCATTTTAGTTCTAGTCTTGTTGCAGGATTTGATCTAGCTGCTGGTTTACAAGGTACACTTACAGAGATTGCAGCAACTTGTCTTTAGGTTTTGCGTGCAGAAACTCATTCAGTGCTGATGCTCTCAAATGAAACAAGTATTTAATACTGCAAAGCATGGACTACTTTTCATTGCTGGCATTCTTAAAAAAAAAAATTCTTTGTAACACAGCAACTTACATGCCTAAAGATGAAAAATAGTTGCGCACTAGAACAAATGATACCTGGAATTTTTGCCCCGAGTCATTCCATGTTGCACAGCTCAACTCAATACCTTCTCATAAGTCATTTTGGACATCTCACAGAAGTACATGCTTCCTTAATTTCCCTCATTTGGTACTCACCAATAAACTATGTTAATAGAATTTTTACTAATTTGATACAGTGAATAACTTGGTTTCATTACAAGAATGCAGGTCCATTTTGAGAATGGAAATTAAAAAAACCTATGTACAACAGAATCATAGAATCAGCTGGGTTGGAAGGGACCTCTGAGATCATCAAGTCCAACCCTTGATCCTACCACTGTGGTTACTAGACCATGGCACTAAGTGCCACATCCAGTCTCATCTGAAAAACCTCCAGGGACAGAGAACGCACCACTTCCCTGGGCAGCCCATTCCTGTTGGGAGAACAAAGATTGTGTGTGAACAATTTCCTCTGCATTTCTGTGGGCCTTGCCTTGGCATAGCTGGGCACAGACAGTAAAAAGAACTGCGTAGCTAACATGGCTTCAACCCCTGAAGTTAGAACAAAGGAGGATCAGTGCCAAGGTTAAGGTGGAGTCTCAAGAAGGTAAACGTGTGCCCTCAGCTCATATGGACACCTGTGATACTCCAATTAGCACTGGACAGAGTATGTTTCTTTTATGTATCCAATACTGTAGAAGAGGTGATCATGCGTTGGGATGTAGTAGCAGTATACAACGAGTATCCTTCTTGTAATAAACGGACATTTTGCCGACCATATTGGCCTGTGAGCAATCTGTCTCAATCCCCTCCGCCGATACATTCCAATGCCTGATTACCCTCTCTGGAAAGAATTTCTTCCTAATATCTAACCTAAACGTCCCCTGGCACAGTTTAAGACCATGCCCTCTTGTCTTGCTGATAGCTGCCTGTTGGAGAAGAGACCAACACCCACCTGGCTACAACCTCCTTTCAGGGAGTTGTAGAGAGTGATGAGGTCTCCCCTGAGCCTCCTCTTCTCCAGGCTGAACAACCCCAGCTCCCTCAGCCTCTCCTCATAGGACTTGGGCTCAAGTCCCTTCACCAGCCTTGCTGCTCTCCTCTGGACCTGCTCCAGCACCTCAATATCCTTCCTGAACTGAGGGGCCCAGAACTGGACACAGTACTCCAGGTGTGGCCTCACCAGCACTGAGTACAGGGGAAGAATCACTTCCCTGGACCTGCTGGCCACACTGTTCCTGATCCAGGCCAGGATGCCATTGGCCT